AAAAATAAGGACTTTACTTATATGGAGAGATAGAACAATATGTAAATGACAAGGTTGCTTGGAAATATAAATGACAAGGGAAAGTGGCTAATATTGCAGATTGCTTGTAATTTATATGACTGGAATGAGTAACATAACAGCTACAAATGAGATCAATACCGCAAGTGAGCAGCAGAGCTAATAAGCTAGATAAAAGAAGGCTTTTGGCAAATCTGGTTTGAGCAGAGTTTGTGCTTTTGTTTGTTTGTTTGAGTGTCCATAATCCTTGTGCATCTGCTCCCTTTTATAGAGGTTTGGAGGAAACCCTCCTGCTGAGGTTTTGTATCTGCCCGAAAGAAGCTTGGGCAGCTTGTATTCCATTGCTTTAGACAGCTTGCATGCTTTTCACTTGCCAACTTGTATGGAGAAATAATATTAAAAGGGGAACTTGCATTTCCACCACAAGCTTTCATCACATGTTTTCCCACTTGTAATAAACTAATCAATTAAAAGAAGTAAGTTGGCAAATTGGCTTCTTTCATCACACATTCTTGCCCGAAAGTATGCATGGTGTCCTTCCATCCACTTGCATGAAAAAGCATGCACTTGTCTTGATTAAACAATTCCCTTGGCAAACCTCCACCACCCAAACAAATAGGAGAAATAATATTATAGTGCCAAACCCTCCACTTGCAACTAAATATCTTTCCAAGTTAGTCTTCTTGCATATTAATCCTCCAAATACCATATTTTACCCAAATTGCCCAAATAAGTAAAATGGGTATATTTTAGGTGTAAACAGAACCTCAATTTATTCGTAATAGAATGCTATGATCACACAAAACCGCCCTCGCCTCACCTCGCGTCGCCTTGCCGCGTCATTCCTTGCATTGCAACACCATGTTGGTAGACATGCAAAGGAGGAGAGGCCATGTAGTCACCCTTCCCCAAAATCTGTTTTACGTTCGAAACATAAAATAACTTGTGCAAACAGTATCTATGGAAAGTGAGTGAAAACTTGTGCAGCAACTCGAGATGGTTTGAGGGCAGTCAAAACTTGTTAAAATGCAGCTAAAGATGGTGACTCTTCCAAACTGTTCCAGTATCTGTTCAACCATGTCGCTGACTCGCTTGATCTTTAGGTAGTGGTAGACCATGGGATTTTCGGGGCTGGCGGGTTTCTGGATGGAAATTGCTGAGAAACATTGTATTCATCTCAATGGCTTGGTAAATAAAATTGAACTCTTCAGTGCTTCATATGTCCATACTATATATATATATATATATATGAGTGTGTATATAGGAGAGATCCTATTTTTTGTCAAAATATCTATGGAGATATATTAAAAACAAGAAAAAGAGAAGAGAAAAGAGAGATACGAAAGAATAGCTTTCTTATCTGTTTATAAATAAAGAAAAAGAGAAAATAAAAATGAAAGTCCGTACTTGTGGGTGTGACACGCCTCGACCCTGATATTCCCTGAATACCAGGATATACACGTGCTGGCCGACACCTGAAGGTGACGAAAGCCATTAATTGATACAAAAGCTAAGAATAAGAAATAAATAAGGGTTATGAATTTAAAATACAATGAAATAATAATTTAGGAACGTGCTCAGAACATACAACTAAACCTATTCACTAAAAAGAATTAAGATAAAATTGAATGAATAAAGAAGTGGGTCCTACATAAAGAGGATTCAAAGATACTGCTGCGGAAGTGTCCTGACGCGGGGATTAGGTGCCTTAATCCTAAGTCCTGAATGGGGGCGCAAAACAAAGGTGAGTGGACCAAGTTCATATATACAATAATAATAAAACAGTTATCAAGATACCAACCCCCGCAGTTTAATAATGAAACTACTAGCATAATAAGTTATGGATTTAATCAAAATCCTATCGTCATCCATCGGATAGTCTACCAGTTCATGGTTTTTATATAAATACGATATATCAAAATATAGCTCAATATAGGCTAACAATTTATTCCTCACAAACACACGAGATGAAACCAATATATTTAGTAAACAGGCTTGATATAAATCAAATCATAAATTCGTAGGCATGCTAATCATTTATGCAATTAAACTATAAAATCATGTAAATTTAGAAGGAGTCCACTCACAGAACTCAGCCGCCAAAAGCTGCGCTACTAGCGAAGACGGAAACGTCACAATAATTGCCCCTAAGCACATGAATGACTCAATTAATAAAACTATATAATAGCAATTGAATTTGGGAAAACGGACATTGGAAACGGATTCAGAACGTCGAATTACCCTAAGAAGGGTCCCGGACGAAAAGCCAAAAAAGTCAACTCTACAGTCAACGTTGATCGGGGGTCAACGGTCAAATTAGGTCTAATGGGTTTTAGGCTTGAAATCCGAATTAGGGTTTAGGTTAAATATGATTAGGATCTATTGGGTTTTGAGTTTAGGATCCTAAGGTTTTTGGTTTAAAAGGGTTAGGGTTTAAAATGGGTGGTTTTGGGCTTAAGCCCAAACCCACACACAACACACACACACACAGCCCATACACACCCACAAGGCACGGCCCGCAGGCCTAGTTACCAACAACTGGGCTTTAAGCCCCAAATAAAAGGAAAGGCCCTAAGGCCCAGTGGGTCAACCAAATAAATAAAGGAAATAAAATTTATAATTGGGTTGGGTTTTGGTGTTTCTGGGCTGGTCCAAACACGGGCCTAAGGCCCGGGGTGCTTTGGGTGGCCTGAAGGGCCTGCGTGGTGATCGGAGGAGAAGGCTGGAAATTCGGCTGGAAATTCATACCCACTTTAAATGGCCATAACTTTATCAATACTTAACGAAATCAAGTGAAACAAGAACGAAAGTTTTAGCCCTCGAAGATACGAAGAGAATGGTACCTCACACGACATCTAACTTGTCGTGGTTTGGCCGTAAAATGCCTAGAAAGCCTCAGAGGTCGCCAGAAACTGGGTAAGATTCAAATGAGTATAACTTCTTCATTACTCAACGAAATTGAGTGAAACAAAAAAGGAAAGTTGTACTACTCGACGAGACGAAGAGATTGATACCTTGCACGCCGGCCAACTCGCCCTGGTTTGGCCGGAAATGGCCTCGAAAGTGGCGGGTACCTCGCCGGAAATCTGGGGAAGTCTCCCCGACGTATTTTCGTGTCCAAACCTTCATCAAAATCACATTTTAACAACCACTAAGCCTTCTAGACTACTAGGAAGGAAGATTGAAGGGTGTTTTCGACTTACCTCGTCGGAATTCAAGTGCACCGTGACTGTGCACAGTGTGAAGAAGAGAGAGAGTGAGCTCGGAGAGGTGCAAGAGAGAAGGGAGGATCTGAGTGATGGTGATGGGTGCTGTCGTCTTCATTGATGTGGTGTGGAAGTGAGGGTTTGCAGGGAGGAAGGACACGGGTGAGAGGGAGAGAAGAGGGGAGAGAGCTAAAGGAGAGAAAGAGAGGCCGGGGGACAAAATAAAAGGGATGGGCCCCTTGGGCTCATCAATATAGGTCCAAAAACCATTTTTAAATAAAAAAAAGGGATTGGGGTGTTTCAGGGTGTCAATAACTTCTTCAAGTATCTCTAATACAAATGATTTTGCGGCACTAATATAGTTATTAACATGAAAATTGAAAATCTAATACATGTTTCAGCAAATTTCTCAAATATTTCTAAGATATATATTGTGAGTCCCTACTATCACAACAAATGGTTTTGAAGTACTAAGACTTATTAATCTATCTTGTTGTGTCTACACCATTTGTTCCTTTCTATTAATCTTAGGTTAAAGTTTTATAACTTTAATTAATATTCGAAATAATTTTATAAGTTAATATCCGACGTTGATTTCATTATAATGTTAATATAAATTGAACCCTTAAAAACGGATACCATCACCCAAATACCTCCATAGAGAAAGAAAAAAAAATACCTTCATAAATCCCCAAACACTTTCTTTTCCCAATATTTTGAAAAAATAAAAATAAAATGAACATGTTTATCTTGTTATTCAAATAAAAGGTGAAAAAATAATTATAAACAAAAACCTGTTTTAACTGTCAACAAGTTTCTCACTTATCTCAACTCTCAGTGAATTTTATGTACCGTTTAAGAATTTTCTCTCATACTGTTATTCATCCATTTCTCACTTATAACTCATAAAGACAATATGTTTTTTTGTACAGTTTAAGAATCTTCCTCCTACTGTTATTCATACATATGCTCAGTCAGTTTTCTGTACCGTTTAAGTTTTCTCTCAACTTCCAATTTCAGAAAGACATGCTCAATTTTCTACAATTTAAGGATTTGCTCTCCTACTACTATTCATCCATTTTTCACTTATCTCAACTTTCAGTGAACTTCAAAAAGGTTTTATGTACCGTTTAAGAATTTTTGTTCTCCTACTTTTATTCATCCATTCTCTCTTTATCTCAACTTCTAGTCAACTTAAAAAAGACATACTTAGTCAGTTTTCTGTATAGTTTAAAACTTTACTTTCTTGGTGTTATTCGTCCATTACGATTCATCTCTGAGTTAAATATCCGACGTGAATCTACTATGTCATTGTATTTCGGATTTAATAAAAAAAAAATGAAAAATGAGGAAGCAGAACTGGAATTTTGCTCCTCTTCGATTGCAACCTGAGCAAGAAAGCAAACAAAGTTGCAAGCCAACGGTGTATTAGAGATTTAAACAGTGAGGCTAGCCATCCATGTACACTATATCTCCCGTTCACCATGCCAAGTATTCAAGTCCTAATCCTCCACAAGCCACGTTTCAGTCATGTCTAAAGTACCACCACCGTCACGGGTTATGGTTTCTCAAACTCACCAGCCGAATTAAAAAAAAAAAAAAAAAAAACAGGATAAAAATCCTCGATTCTTCTCAAAAAAATCTCACAATGTCGAACTCGGAGATGGTTGCTGGTAGTAGCAGTGTTGGGGTTGCGGAGAGAAGCAGGCGAAGCGGCCAGCGCAGAGAAGCTCGAGGAAGGGTTGCATGAGGGGGAAAGGAGGGCCAGAGAACGCTATGTGCACTTACAAGGGCGTCAGGCAAAGAACGTGGGGCAAATGGGTGGTGGAAATCCGCGAGCCCCACCGCAGAGCCCGGCTCTGGCTCGGGACTTTCGACACCTCCTATGAGGCTGCTCTGGCTTATGATGCTGCCGCGGCGGCGGCCTGGAAGCTCTACGGTTCCCAGGCGAAGCTCAATTAGCCATATAGCCATCATCAATTGAACCAGCACGGCCTGCAGCATCAAGTATTTCCCTCGTCGGCCAATCCTGGCGTGCCACCTCAAATTTCGAACCAAACCCTTGTGCAGAACAATCTGTCAGGTACTCGGACTAATCCTGCATGTTATGCTGCTCCTGTGAAATATATTGCAGTACCTGTTATTTGCAATAATTATGCGAATGTGAAGGTGGATCAGCCGGAGCCGGGGGGCATGAAAGTGGAGGAGAATATGAGTAGTGGTGTGAACAATGAAGGCATGGATGGGATATTCTGGGGGAAAATGAGAGAGAGCTTTCCGGTGTTTGATGACTCGATATGGACGGAGGCAGCCATGTCGCTTGATCTTCCAGTGGTGGCAGATCAAGGGATTTTCGGCGGCGGTTTCACGGATGGAAATTGCTGGGAAACATTGCCTTCGTCTCAGTGGTGCATGATGTAAATCAAACTTGAAGGGAAGGTATAGAGATCAAAAGTGGTGACTTGGTAAATAAAGTTGCACAAGGTACAGTGCTTCATATGTCATAGCATATATATATATAGTAGGGTGTGTATATATGTATACAGTACAAATAAATGGAAGTGTGTATAAATATCTAAAGGGCTGAAGGTTTGCTGCCTTAATCTTTTTTATTTTTAGTTTTAATTTCAGGAGTGTACTAAGAAAACGTAATGTGCAGGATATTGTAAAAGAGTCGGAGCTTGCAAGGTTTCTTGTATACATAACAATGTTATGTGATGTGTTAACTAATTTAATCTAATTTGAGGCATCGATCTTTTTCGTTTGTCTATATTAATCAAGCGAGCCTTTTGAATTCTAAGTTAACCAGAAGAGCTTTTTGAGTTTGAGTTAGCATAAGCACAATGGTTAATTATGTGAATGATTTTTGTTCTAATGTTTGTGAGTTATCTAATTCAATCTAATCCAAGGGACCATATGAGTCATCTGAATTAGCTGTTGCACAACAGTTGGACTACTTCGCCTATTTCGTCTTATTATGGGATTTAATTCGTTTCTTTTCCTGGTTTGATTCCAAATTTTGATGGATGTTTTCTAGTATCATCATCAGGATGTGGAGGATTTATCTTCCTATACCTCTTGGGAAGTTTAAGGTTTGAGCTTAATTATCCGTACAACATTTGAGACATTATTTCATCTCTCTCTGTTTTCAATATGTTAATTTGTCCTCTCATTCACCAAGCATCATGTATTTTTGTCAATGTTGGTATTTATTGCCAATTCTGCAAGTGCACTTAATTATTTAATTATTGATTTAACAAAAAAAAATTATTTAATTATTGCAACTGGAGTTGACGAGTCATAATATTATTCTTTATCATATTTGAAGTGTGTCAAAAGGTATAGTAGTTCGACGATTGAGTTCTGATATAGTTTTGTTCATCCATCTTTCATTCCTTATGCCAGACTAAGCCTTGATGCGTGGTTTCTTATGCTACAGAACTTTGTTTCTTTTTTTGTCTTAAGCATGTACTAGTTATTTACTTCATAATAAATGAGACACTTTTTTTTCTCCATTTGTACAGTCATGCTTTTTTTATCCCTTATTTTTCTTTTAATTCGTTTTGTATGTATGCCAGACACACATTTTTCTCTTTTTGCACTCTTATTTTGTTTTTATCCCTTAATTTTTTTTTAATTCGTTTAATCTATAGCCTATAAATAAACAAGGGTGTGAAGCAGCAGAAAAATGGTGTGTTGAATTCACTTATGTACTTCATTTATAATGAACTCCTCTTCAAAAAAGGCAGAAAAGAAAGTAACCCAACTATTCACAAGCAATTGGTTTCTTGTGATCATTGGAGAAACCGCCCTCGCCTTGTCTTGCCGCATCATTCCTTGCATTGCAACACCATTTGTTGGTAGACATGCCAAGGAGGCGAGGCTATGTAATCACCCTCCCAAAATCTCTTTTACATTTGAATTTAGATATAAAACAACTTATGCAAACACTAGGTATGTCAGGTGAGTGAAAACTTGTGCAGCAACTCTACATGGTTTGAGGGCAGTCAAAACTTGTCAAAGTGCAGCTAACGATGGAAAGCTAACGATGGTGACTCTTCCAAACTGTTTCAATTTTCTGTTCTTGAATGATGTTGCTTGATCTTCCCGGTGGTGGAAGACCGTGGCATTTTCGGCGCCAGCCGGTTCGTGGATGGAAATTGCTAGTAACATTGCATTCGTCTCAATGGTGCACGTAAATCAAAAACTGAAGGTGTAAAGTAAAGTTGAACTCTTCATTGCTTCATACGAGCATACTATATATTATATACGTACGGAAATGTAGGGGGGGTTTTATAGTACAAAATATAAAAATATATATATGTGTGTGGAGAGAGGTGTGTATGAATAAGTATAGGGCTACGGCGCTGGATGGGGTTTGGAGAAAGGTGTGTATGAATATGTATAGGGCTGCGGAGCTGCGTGGGGTTTTCTGCGGTGTGTATGAATATGTGCAGGGTATTGTAAATGAGTCGAAGCTTGCAAGGGGTTTGTTGCAAGTGCTATTGTCCTTGTGTATGCATTGTAATCTAATTAGAGCTGCACACTAAGTTTATCACGTGTGACATGCCCCGACCCTGATATTCTTCGAATATCAGGATAGACACGTGCTGGCCGACACTCAAGGTGACGAAAGCCATTAATTGATTATAAGAGTAATGATTAGAAGAAAACATTCATAAATAACGTCAGAATTTAAGAGTAGTTAACAACATTCACGGAAACATCTAGAATGAACCATACACAGTCTAAACCAGATTTACAAAAAGAAAGAACATTACAAGATATCACACAAGTGGGTGATGGAGTGCTACTGGTAGGGGAATGCCTCGTACGTCCAGTTGTAGTCCTCGTTTCTATGACCTGAATGGGGGCGCAAAACAAAGGTGAGTGGACCAAGTGCATATGTACGATAATAATGAAACAGTTATCACTCCTAACCCATTATTTATGTACTGAGGAGCGAGCCCTTATTCTATAAAAGGGACTCCCTCACCATCATTAGAGAGCATCGCCGCCTGCTGAGCAACCGCCTTGCCACGAGCATCACTCTTAACCCATTATGTATGTACTGAGGAGCGAGTCCTTATTCTATAAAAAGGACTCCCTCACTTTCATTAGAAAGCACCCATTATTCATGTACTGAGGAGCGAGCCCTTATTTTATAAAAGGGACTCCCTCACCATCATTAGAGAGCATCGCCGCTTGCTAAGCAATCGCCTCGCCGCAAGCATCACTCCTAACCCATTATTTATGTACTGATGAGAGAGCTCTTATTCTATAAAAGGGACTCCCTCACTTTCATTAGAAAGCATCGCCGCCTGCTGAGCAACCGCCTCGCCGCAAGCATCACTTCTAACCCATTATTTATGTACTGAGGAGCGAGCCCTTATTCTATAAAAGGGACTCCCTCACCATCATTAGAAAGCATTGCTACCAGTTGAGCAACCGCCTCGCCGCGAGCATCACTCATAACCCATCACTTATGTATTAAGGAGCGAGTCCTTATTCTATAAAAGGGACTCCCTCACCTTTAAACGTCACAAACCGAGCCAACCAAGGCAACATAAGCCACAAGCAGAGCAGCCTCGCAACATGTGCTACTTCTAGTTGAGCATCATTTCACTTTGAGCACCGCCTTATATCAAGTATCAGTTCAAGACGACGTCTAGTTACTTCGGCCCACATATGGACTGAATTTCAAGTCTCCAGCCAAAAGACTCTCTTGACTGAAGACTTAGGGGACTACTGTTTGTACCATACTTAGGGCCTCCGTATTTAGATCTCATATAAATACTCGGGGGACTCAAATGTAATTATGTAAGGAAGGGGCAAATATGTAATAAGTGATGAGCCCTTATTCTGTAAAATGACCCATCACTCTCCTCATTAGGGGAGGCCAATTCCTAAGTCATACCATCACCCTCTCAGAGCTCTCATCCTCACAGAAAAGCTCTCTCTCTCCCTCTTCAACATCTCAGAGAAATACAATAATCAGTGTGGACGTAGCCCAAACATTGGGGTGAACCACGATACATCTTGTGTTATTTACATTTCTTGCAGATTCACGGTCGGATTTACGTTGTTCCAAGACCTCCGATTTTGTGCATCAACAATATTAATAACAATCATATTCAACATCATTCCACAATCACCTCAAGTAACCCATTCCATGAATCAAGGAGACACGATATTAACATTTAATTACGTTAGTCAGTCAACCAGATCACATATCAATGCACGAAATTTAATAAAGGAATTCTACATAATTCCCTGCCTGGATTCCAAGTAATCACATGATAAATCTAATTTATATTCACAAGGTAGGTAATTCCCATTTACTCAAATCCAGGGTTATAGTCTAACTTATGGAAATGAGAAAGAGTAAGAATTCCAGACCACTCAATAGAATCCAACAAAATCGGGTTCCGGACCACTCAATGGAACCAAAATACCAAACGGTTTCTCATAATCTACCCAAACTTGTCATATGTAAAATCAGTGCCTACATCAAGGGAATGATGCACTGGCAAATCAAAACTTGGTTAAGATGTGACGCTCGGGTGAGTGATAATAATACAAGAATGTGATATTAAATAAAAACAGACCATCGATCACAATCTATAAACATCGAGTATAGAATCATGCTTTGTGAAATCATAATCAAGTCGTTGAAAACTCCGAATGAGTCACCTAGACATCCAACGACTTTTCCCATTCAAACCACCAAGATTCTAAAAAATCATCGTTCATATGTACATTAAAAACTAGGGCTAGAGAGACGCAGTTCGGCCAAAGCCTACATAAATAACCAAACAGGAAGTGGCCCTCCAAAGAGGATTAACTAATCAGAGCCATCCTTGAAAAAGTAACCAAGTAGGCAATGACCCCCCAATGCGGATTAACCAAGCAGAGTCACTCCTACAGCTGTTAGGAAGTGATTACCCAATACGGATTAACCAAGCATGATCACTCCTAAGCATACATAGCTATAAGGATCGCCCAACACAGATTAACCAAGCGCGATCCATATATAGTATGGTCCCCTAACGCGGATTAACCAAGCAGGACCACTAGTGACCCCCAATACGGATTAACCATGCAAGGTCAAGATAATCAGGTAGGTAGTGACCCCCAATGCGAATAAACCAAGCATAATCACCCATAAGTATAAATGACCATAAGGATCGCCCAATGCGGATTAACCAAGCGAGATTCATATATAGTATGGTCCCCCAATGCGGATTAATCAAGCAGGGTCATAGTCCTCTACTAGCCCTCAATTTACAGAACATTTCAATATGTAATTCGAATCACTTTTCCACAAATATTACCAATCCATGAATCAAATCACATTTAATAAAATAGATCGATGGCATTTTATAAAATAATCACATTTTAATAGAAAACACATTTATAAA